CTCAGCACCCCGATTTTGGTGCTCAGCACCCCAATTCTCGCGATTTTGGTGCTCAGCACCCCAATTTTGGTGCTCATCACCCCGATTTTGGTGCTCAGCACCCCGATTTTGGTGCTCAGCACCCCAATTTTAGTGCTCATCACTCCAATTTTGGTGCTCACCACCCCGATTTTGATGCTCAGCACCCTGATTTTGGTGCCCAGCACTGCAGGTGGAGGGAAGCACTGGGCAGCATCTCAAAGCCAAGGGCAGAGTGCTTTGGGTGCTGTCAGGGAGAGGATGGATCAGGTTCATTAACTGAGGGTTATTAGCAGGATGGCGTTTTTAATGAGGTTTCCAGCAGCCAGGGGAGGGGGAGCTGTTGGTGCTGAGCCCTGCAGGGCACAGAAGCCCCTGGAATAAATCCCTGCATTTCCTGCCTGCTCCATCCTCTCACCTGGCACCAAAGGGGGTGGAAATGCAGTGGCTCTGGCTGCTGCTGCATTTCTCATCGCTCACTGGAGCCAACACAACCCAGTGCCCAGCTGGGACCCCTCTGAGCAGCTCCTGCAGTCCTTGTCCCTTCCCTGGCCCAGTGAACCCACCCTCCTTTGGGGTGATTCACACCATCCCTGCCTCTGACAGCTCCTCTCCATGGGGAGCTCCGTGCCCAGCAGGTTTTCCAGCACCTGCAGGATGCTGAGCACTGCCCTGTTCTCCTGCAGGTGGGAGCTCAGCCAAGCAAACCACCTGGGAAGGAGGGCACAGGGTGCCAGCCCTGGTGTACTGGCCTGGCCGTGTCCCTGCTGGGAGGACCAGCCAGGCTCTCCTCAGGTAAGAGCCCCTCTGGGAACAGGGGTGGCCCCATTTGGAGGTGTGGGAACTCAGCACATCCCTCTGGGTGTCCAGAGCTGGGGGGCTCAGAGACCCTGGCACGCTGCCCAGAACACCTGGGGATTTGATTTTGACCCATGGATCAAATTACCAGCTTGTATGAGGGCCTGAAAGTCACACAAGTCTGAATAGTGTAATAATAAGATATTCACAGGGTGAAAATGTAGATTTTAGGATTTTTGGTATGGGGGTAATGGGGACAAGATGGAGGAATCAGGGTGTGTCTAGTCCTTCTTTCTTCTTATTATTCTCCATTTTCTGCAGTGATGTTGGCTTTGGGACTGGTTTAGAACAGAAGTGCACTGTCTAACATAGGGGATAGGTATTGGGAAGTAATTGTAAATATATTTAGAATAGAAGCTCACTGTCTAACATAGGTGATGGGTATTGGGAATTAAGTGTAAATATGATATACATAATTTGTAGTACAAAAAGACAGCACCACCTCAGAAGCAGTCAAAGTGCTCATGGCTGCCTTGCTGAGCAGATCTCGGCTGGCAGAAAGAAAAATTTACAGATAAGAATTTATAAACAACCTCAAGATCGAAAAGTGAAAAGTCCAAACTCGTTCTTCAGTTGCACAGACTGAAGCAGAGACATCCTGCCCATCTCAGAGCAGCAAATATCAGCAGCAACCCCAAAGGAGGGACCCCCCATCCCCACGCTGCCCCCCAGGCCATCACCTGGATTTTGGCAGCTCTGGTTCTCCCCTGCCTTGTGCCAGGCTGTACTTTTGTCCTCTCCAAGCCTGAATGCCTCAGTTGAGAGGAGCTGAAAGGGCTTTTTGTGAGGCTGGAGGGCTGGGGCTCGCAGCCACCAGGGCTCCGTGTGCTCCTGGATAATTAACAAATGATGATGATGATGTTCTCGCTGCCCAGCACGGAGCAGGGGTGGCTCTGCGGTCTGTGAATGGCTTTGTGCGAGGAGGGAGTGGTTGTGAGGAGAGGAATCCCTGCAGGAGGGCAGGGGAGGGGCTGTGCTGCCCCTCTNGCATGTTTCTATCATGTTTCTATCATGTTTCTACATGTTTCCACATGTTTCCACATGTTTTTATATGTTTCTCCATGTTTCTGTATATTTCTACAGGTTTCTGTATGTTCCTATATGTTTCTACATGTTTATATGTTTCTAACATGTGTCTATATGTTTTCAACATGTTTCTATATATTTCCAGCATGGTTCTGCATGTTTCTACATGTTCCTACATGTTTCTATATGTTAATATGTTTCTGCGTGTTTCTATATCTTTCCTGTAGTTCCATCTTTTGTTTCAGGGTCCAGCCCTAAATTCCAGGGGTGTTTTCCACCGATTTCAGGTGGTCCCTGGAGATGGGAGAAGATCCGTGAGTGCTGCCCCTTTCTCTGTGCTTCCCACAAGCCCCAAAACTCCTCTCCCACCTTGGGGTCAAAAATCCAGCAAGGGAGGGATACTGGGAGAGAGAAAAACACTGAGGGGATGTGATGTTTGGGGCAGGTCGGTGTCCCTGTGCTGAGGACCTGCTGTGCGTTGTGGTGGCACCAAGGTTTCCATCCCGCCACGGGAATGCACAGTTCAGCTTTCCTGGAGAGCTTGGAAAGTCCCCACAGGGCAGCAGGGCTGCATCATCCCCGCTCTGCAGGAAAATTCCCTGCTTGGCTTTGGCTGTTTCAGCCCTGTTTGCTTCCCCGAGCGTTGGTGTGACCTCACCCCAGGCTGTGTGACCTGGCCAGAGGTGCTGTGGTGGCTTGGTCAGGAAACATCCGTCTGATGTCCTTCCAGAGCCCCCTGACCATGCCTGGAAAAACCCTGTGGATGCACCCAGCAGCACCAGCCCTTCCATTTATGTGCACAGATGGGGCTGCTTATTAATTGCTGTGGTTTCCTGAGGTGTCTGGGGAAAACACCAAAATTTGGGTGAGGAATTTGGGAGTGTGCTCAGTCCTGGGCTGGTCCGATTGGCTGCTCAGCANGGGACATGGGCATCATTCCATCCATGCCACCCCTCCCTGGCTGCTCCACAATCCCCTCACTGCCCACCGAGGGGACATGGGCATCATTCCATCCAGGCCACCCCTCCCTGGCTGCTGCCCTTGGCTTGAACACACCCCAGCGCTATTTTATTTCTTTCAAACAGCCAAATTTCCCCCAAAACTGCTGCGGAGGGTGGGTTTGGGTCTCCATTACCCCGGAGCTTGGGGTGAGTGTGCTGGTTTGCAGATGGGATGTTGGGATCTGCCCCATCAGGGTCTCACAGCCCCCAGAGCAGAGCACCCACCACCCTCCCCACACGCTGGGACTTTGCTTCTTTTTCACTCCACCGTTTTGTTTGGTTTAAATTTTGTTTTGTTTTGGTTTTTTTTCACTCTTTCCTCCTTTTCCGGCCAAGCCATCTGCTCGGTGGGTTTATTTCAGCCGGGGCAGCCAGAAACATCCATGAGTCAGGCGTTTCCCACTTGTATTACGCGGTGTTACCGTGCCAGTCCCGGGGTCAGCACCGAGGCTCATCCTCCTCCTCCTCCTCCTCCTCTTCCTGACACCCTGGCCGCGCCACCGTGGCCATTCCCCGGGCAAACAGCGCTGGCTCTGTGCCATTCCCAGAGCCTTTCCTTCTCCTGGCCCCGGGGATGGAGCCGTAACCTCAGTTTTGTAGTAAACAAACCCAACAAACCCCGCTGCCGGCCCCGGGCTGCTGCTCTTGAGCAACCCCCGGTCACAAGCCCGAGCAGATGGTGCAGAACAGGACGAGCAGAACTCAAACCACGGCCCCTTGCAGCCCCTGTGCCCTGCAGAGCCCTCAGCAGGGAGGGAGGAACTAGGATTTAAATTCCATTTTACAAGTTCATTTCTTTTATCTTGACTTTTTTTTTTTTGGGTCAAATAATTAAGCCATATATCCCTACATTATCCAAATCGCTTATCACCAATACTTTCAATTAACCTTCCTCTGTCTATTTCCTATTATCAAAAACAATAACCAACTGNGAGGGGGAAAAAGGGACAAAATGGGCCCTCAGAGAGGGGAGGGAGGTGTGTGGGTGCCCTGCTGTGCCACATCCTGTGCCACAGTGCCACCAGGCTGGGCACCAGCTGGGGAGGGGGAAAAAAGGACAAAATGGGCCCTCAGAGAGGGGAGGGAGGTGTGTGGGTGCAGCAGCGAGGAGTGTTTGGAGATGGAGGAAAATCCACCCCAAATGGGGGCACAGCTGACAACAGGGGGACAGTGGGGAGAGGTTTAAGCAGCAGCAGGGGAGAAATGGCTCAGCTCAGCTTCCTGCCTGTAAGGAGAGGTGTGCCTGGAGCTGGGTGATCCATCTGGGGTATTTTCCCCCAGGGATCCGTGTCTGAGGCAGGAGTGGAAGGGTTTGTGTCCCCAGGCTCAGCAGTGCCACCACCCCAGTGACCCCAAAGGCTGAACGCTCTCTGTGTGTCCCCTGTGCAGTGCCAAAGGACAGCCCTTCTTCCTGTACCTGGCCCTGGCCCATATGCACGTCCCGCTGGTGCCCCCGCTGCCCCCCGGCCCGGGCAGGGGCATCTACGGAGCGTCCCTGGGGGAGATGGATGCGCTGGTGGCACGGGTGAAGGAGGCAGCAGACAGCCTGGGCAGGGGCAGCACGCTGCTCTGGTTCACAGGTACTGCAGGGCACTGCAGGGATGGGGCTGTGGCTTCTCTGAGCCTGAGAGGAGCAGGGAAAAAAATGATGGAAACAATTCTGATCTCACTCGCTGCTCCTGTGTTGTGCCAAAGGGGAGTGACACTGGGGGCTGCACCTGGGGGTGGGGGCAGGATATGTGTTTGTCCCCTACCCTGCATGTCCTCTGCCCTCAATGTCCCCTGCCCTCAATGTCCCCTGCCCTTGGTGTCCCCTGCCCTCAGTGTCTTCTGCCCTCCATGTCCCCTCTCCTCGATGTCCCCTGCTTGCGATGTCCCCTCCCTTCAATGTCCCCTGCCCTCGGTGTCCCCTGCCCTCAATGTCCCCTGCCCTCAGTGTCCCCCTGCCCTCAATGTCCCCTGCCCTCAGTGTCCCCTGTCCCCTGCCCTCCATGTCCCCTGCCCTCAATGTCCCCTGCCCTCAGTGTCCCCTGTCCCCTGCCCTCCATGTCCCCTGCCCTTNTCCCCACAGTGCTGGGGTCAGGCTGGGTGGGTTTAGGGTTAGTGGGAATTGGGATGATCTGTCCCCTTTCATCCACGGTGCTGGAGATCAGGTTGATGGGTTGTTGGATGTTGGGATGTCCTGTCCCCTTTCATCCTTGAATCACAGAGTGGTGGGGCTGAGGGATTGCTGGATATTGGGATACCATGTCCCCTTTCATCCCTGATGGGTCCCCACAGTGCTGGGAGTCAGGCTGGAGGGGTTTGGAGTCATTGGGGATTGGGATGTCCTGTCCCCTTTCATCCTTGAGGCACACAGGGTGGTGGGCTTTGGGGTTAGTGGGAATTGGGATGTCCTGCCCCCGTTCATCCCTGATGGGTCCCCATGGGGCTGGGGTCACACTGGGAGGGTTTGGGAATTAGGGTGTCCTGTCCCCTTTCATCCCTGAATCACAGAGTGGTGGGGCTGAGGGGTTGTGGGATGTTGAGAAAGAACGTCCCAGCTGCTGGGAGCAGGTCCTGGCTGGTGGGCCCCGGGGCAGTGCTGGGTGTTCCCAGCTCCCTGGGCTGAGCTGCAGACACTCACTCGTTCCACAGCCCCAGGGCAGCTCTGGAGCTGCGTTTTTGCAGGCAGGGGAAGCTCTGAGCCAGAACTGAGTCACTGGAGCCTGGTGAGGGGATGGGGAGCACGTAGCACCCATGGCTTCATCTCCAACCAAACCCCTGGGCTGTGGGGAGAGCTGTGGCCTCACCTCCAAACCCCGGGGCTGTGGGGCAGTGTGTGCAGGATCAGTGCCTGGATCCCATCCCCCTGGCCCTGCCTCCAAGCCCAGGAATTGTGGTTATCTCCTCCAAGATCTGATCTGCTGCATTTCCCAGCTCCAGTCTGGCAGGTTGGACAGCTGGGAATCTGGAAATGCAGCAGAGGCAGGTGCAGCACGCCGGGTGCTTGGGGAGTAGTTCTGGGGAGTCACAGGAGTCACATTCAGGAGGCTGGCACTGCCATGGGGCCATGCCAGCTGTGCAGGGGTTGGTCTGGCACTGCCACCATGCCCAGCTGTGCAGGGTGGTGCTGTGGCATTGCCATAGAGCCATGCCAGCTGTGCAGGGTGCTCTGGCACTGCCATGGGGCCATGCCAGCTGTGCAGGGTGGTGCTCTGGCATCAGGAAGGGGCACCCCCTCTTTGGGAGCAGCACAGAACCAGATTAGGGCATGTGAGAGTGATGGGTCATGCTCAGCAAAGTGTCACCATGAGGTGGGACAGGGAGGGTGGAGGGACACAGAGGTGCTCACAGGACTGGTGGCTTTTCCCTGGGACAGCTCCACAGGGACACTGAACCCCCCCAGCTGATGGGCAGGGAGTGGAGCAGGAGGGGCTGGGAGCCCTGAGCACTCAGAGGGATCCCCAGGAAAAACCAGGGCTGGGCAGGGCAGGGCCTCTCCCATCTGCAGGGATCTCCTCCTCCCCTGGGGTTATGGAAACACCTGGCTGGGGCACAGACAATGCCGTGAGCACAGGGGTGAGCGAGGGTGAGTGTGACCCGGGGCCAGGGAGCTGCAGCCAGCACAGCAACGCTGATGCCTCACCCCAGACCAGCACCTGCACGCTGGGCTCTGCACAAAACTGCCCCAAAACTGCCTCGTCTGCTCTTCTTAATGATGGTTAATTATGGTCAGAGCCACCCAGCGTGCTCCTGCCCTGCCCCAGCCCGAAGTAGGGCAGGGAAGAAGTAGGTCAGGAGGGTGCTGAGGAGGAGATTGCACCATCCTGGCTGTGCTGGCAGCTGGGCTGGGGTGTGGGCACAGCTGCTGCAGCCCAGGCGGGGCAGGGTTCTGCTGGAGCTCAGCACATCCCTCCGGGTGTCCAGAGACCCTGGCACACTGCCCAGAACACCTGGGGATTTGATTTTGAACCTTGCAGCAAGTTGCCAGCTTTGTATGAGGATGTGAAAGTCCCACAGGCTTGAACGGTGTAATAACAAAATGAGCACAGGGTGAAAATGTAGATTTTAGGATTTTTGGTATGGGGGTTATGGGGACAAGATGGAGGAATCAGGACGTGTCCAGCCTTTCTTTCTTCTTCTTCTTGTTCTCCATTTTCTGCAGTCATGTTGGCACTTTGGGATTGGTTTAGAGTAGAAGTGCACTGTCTAACACAGGTGATGGGTATTGGGAATTAAGTGTAAATATGTTATATGTAGTTTGTAGTATAAAAGGACAACACAGAGTGCCTGTGGCTGCCCTGCTGAGCAGATCTCGGCTGGGCAGAAAGAAAATTTTATGGATAAGAATTAAGAAACAACCTCAAGACAGAAAAGTGAAGAGTCCAGACTCGTTCTTCAGCCACGTGGGCTGAAGCAGAGACATCCTGCACATCTCAGGGCAGCAATTATCAACCAAAACCGGAGACCTGGGCACCAGGGGCTGCTGGCACTGGCCTGGAGACCCCAGGGTGGCACTTTCTGCAGAGGGTGACCGACCTGCTGCTGCCTTCCTACTGCCCAGGGCTTCAGTGCCCTGCTCCCCCTGCCCCTGCCCACATCCTAGCTCAATCCGGGGCTGGCAGGGCTGTGGAGCCAGAGCCAGGGCTGGGTTCAGCCTTTCCAGCTGCTGGGAGCTCTCCTGGGAGGGATGAGGTTGGGGGGACCCTCCAGGGATGCTCACTCCTCGCTCTGAATGGCTGTCCCCTCTCTCCCCAGCATCCTGGACATCTTCCCCACGCTGGTGGCCCTGGCTGGGGCAGCACTGCCCCCAAACAGGCGCTTTGATGGCTTGGATGTGTCCCCAGTTCTCTTTGGCTGGTCGGATGTGGGGCACAAGGTAAGGCAGAGCCACCCCTGGTGTCACCCCCTCCTGGCAGCAGGTGAAACAGGTGAGTGGTGCCTGGGTTTGAACAGCCAGGTGTGTGCTGAGGAGGGCAGAAATGGAAATTTCCACTTCCTTGAAATGGAAAATACAAAACCCATCCCTCCAAATTATGATAATTTTGAAACTAAGGGGCTCTCAGGCAAAGATGTGGGAGCAGGAATAGCAGTTCTTTATTAGGGAAATTAAAAATACAAATGCAATAGTACAAAAAAGAGAAAACAAACCATTGACAGAGTCAGAACAGGCTCGGACACACTGTGTGCCAGGGGGTGTCCCAGCCCCATCCATGGGGGCTCAGCCCTCCTGCAGTGCCAGCTGTGGCTCTGCTGCAGCAGGGATCCTGCACAAGGGGGGAGTTTTCCTCTGCAGCTCCAGGGCTGCTGCAGATGGGCCTGGGCTCCCTCTGGCCATGCAGGGCAGCAGAAAGCTGCTCCTCTGGCAATGCAGGGGGCAAAGGCTGCTGGGGTGTCCCAAAGCTCAGATTGGATCCAGGCAGGAATGCTTGGCTCCTCCCCTGGGCGGAGCATCTCCCCATGGGATGCTGGGATTGGATCAGCCCTGCAGGGACACTCAGTGGCCCAAAAGGGGTTTGGGTTAATGAAAATTGTTTTGTGCTTCGTTCACAAACCTGGGATCAGAGGTGGCAATGCCTCTGCCTGCAGCTTGGCACCTTCCTGTGCCTCAGAGCTGTGTCTGTGACCTGACAGTTCACACACAATTCTGTCATTCTCATCAATAAATCCCCCCTCTAGCAAACCACCCATTGCCCCAAGCACTGCCCCCTGAACCTGACCATGGACTTAAACTTCTTTGACCAATTTTGAAGCCCATCCCTCCTAGGAATCTCACTGATCCTCATCTCAATAACATTCCCAGCTCTCCTACTGCCATCCCTAGACAACTGATGAATTACTGACTGACTCTCAACCCTCCAGCTATGGTTTATTAACCTAGTTACAAAACAACTAATAATGCCCCTAGACAAAAAAGGACCCAGGGACTCCAGCTGGGGGTGCTCAGGCTCGTGGCAGCCTGCAGTGCCCAGCACAGCACCTGCCTGGCCCCAAAAGGAACATCAGGGTGGGCAAGGGCAGCTCCAGGGCTTCAGACCTCGTTATGCCCATTTATTTATTTATTGCACCACATCAAGACACAACAAACTTGTGTCTTGATCAAACAGATCAAACACAAACAAACACAAAATTTGTTCCATCAGGACAGCCCACCCCATATCCCACAGCTCCTTTCACCCCAAAAACACAGTTTACAGGACAAGCAGGGTGACCATACATTTGTCTCGGAGCTCATGGGATTTTTGCAGAACCAACCAAAAAGAAAAAAGAGAAGTGGCTTCAATAGCAGTCCCGTGGATAAACCCTGATTTTGCTTTTAAAGTACACCCTCTACAAGTACTGTGAGCCAGCTCCCAGCGGGATCCTGGATTTGTTTCCGTGTCCATCAGGGGTTTGGTATTTGCTTTGTATTTATGGAACCCTCTGCTGAACTGGGAGATGGAGCAGGGAAGGGGATGGGATGGGGCCAGCTCGCTCTGCTCTGCTCTGCTCCTCAGATTAACCCTGCTGGGAGCAGGGCACTGGGGCTGCTGGGAGCAATGGTTTGCTGGGAAGGAGCCTTTCCTGGGAATGAGATTTTCCTGGGAGCAATGGCTTCCTGGGAGCAATGGTTTGCTGAGAATGAGGTTTTCCTGGGAGCAATGGTTTGCTGGGAATGAGCCTTTCCTGGGAATGAGATTTTCCTGGGAGCAATGGCTTCCTGGGAGCAATGGTTTGCTGAGAATGAGGTTTTCCTGGGAGCAATGGTTTGTTGGGAACAATGGTTTGCTGGTGGTGGTGATTTTTTGGGAATGATGGTTTGCTGGGAGCAATGGTTTGCTGATAGTGTTTTTTTGGGAATGATGGTTTGCTGGGAGCAATGGTTTGCTGGGTGTCAGTGTGCAGCCATTCCTGTGTGGGTCTCCCCCCAAGGGCTGGGATCACGCTGCCATGGGGTGGGCTGTCCTCAGAGGGTCCCACAGCCCCGTGGGGTGGGGGAGCAGCCGTGTCCCCCTCCTGTCCCCTCCTGTCCCCTCCTGTCCCCCTCGTGTCCCACCCCCTGCCCGAGAGCGGCCGGCAGTGACCCCGTGCAGGGTTTGCCCTGACACAAATCCTCCTGAAAGCAGCTCCGTGCTCACTCCAATGCCCAATTTCCACACTTTGCTAATTGGGGTGGCTGGAGCTCCCCGTGTGGGCTGTCCCAGTGTCCCAGCCTGTGCTTGCTGCTGGCACGGGCGGCAATGGGGCTGGGGTGACACCGAGGTCCTGCTGAGAGCAAGGGCTGTTGGCAGGAGAAATAAACCACATCCTCCAAGGAGCACCGAGGGTACCAGGGCTGTAAATCCCCCTGTCCATCAGCTCAGTGTGAATAGCCCAGAGCACCAAGTTCAAGCAATGAATTTACAGCAGAGAAAAGGCTTCCCACCCCACCCCTGCTTCTCTATTTTTTTATTTATTAAAATAATAGCCATGGATTATTGGAAGAGTTCCAGATCTGGGAATGTTTCTTGAATCAAAACAAGCTCCTTAATTATGCAGTAAATTATAACAGATTTTCTAAGTGTGGGGTTTTAAGAGGTTTAGGAACGTGGTTGTTTGTAGGAAGGGAGATTTGAGTGCCCTTGGCAGCGTCCCAGCTGTGCTGTTAAAGGTGCAGGCAAAGCTTTGAGGCTGGAGACAGATTAATTGGTTCAGCTCCTGGTCCCTTGGCTTCACAGGGCCTTGAATATTTGCTGATTCCTGCTTTGGAGCTCTTTTATGCTGCCCAAGGAGTGTCAGCAGAAGGGCACTCTGCAGCAGAGCTTCCTCCTTGCACCAGGCTCACACTGCACCACCTCCTCCACTTCACACCCTTCTTACTTTTCCCAAAAAACACAAAAAAATCCAACCAAATTACAGAAGGTGATTTTATAACAAATAATTTACCTTACAACTGAGAGCAATAAAAGAAAGTGAGAGCATTTGCAGATCACCCCCTACCCTGAATCCTGGAATTTCTTGGATGAGGTTCCAACCAGCCCCATGTGAGACAGTGGCTACATCCAGACCAGGCAGCGTGGGATGGACACCTCGGGGTGCCTGGGATGCCT